ATATGCTCTTCGTGTTATATTTCCTCCAGCATTAAAATAAATTAAGCTTATCTATAGAAATATAAAAAGTTTTGAGAGAAAGTCTTTGATTTGTCCGATTCGTCGAGAAAAATGCTTGTCCAAAAAAAAATTAATAATATACGATTGTTTGCTAAAAAACACACACCTGAATTGCCCTATTTCACTATGACGTCACTGCTTGTTTATGTGGGGGATAGAATCGCCAAATCCAATAGAAAATTCAACAAAATTTGCTCCTAGCGAAACAGTTTAATCTAAAATGGCCTGGTTTTCAGATATAATATGTGTTAATATGTATTAGAAATAATCTGAGCGTTTGCAGGCTATTCTACTTCTCTTCGTGGATTAATACGGGTTTTAGAACAATTTTTGGTGAATTTGCGTTGACGACCATGATCCTTTGCGTATAAACAATAGATTGTTTTGATGTGACGTCATAGTGAAATAAGGCAATTCTTGAAGAACACTTCTTGATCCATCTTTGGCTACATGAAAGTTTTTTTTAAACTGTTTTTGGTCTATTGGAACTTTTTTCCAATTACATAGAAACACCCTAAACTTACGCCTGAAGAATCTGGAAAATGTTGACGGCTATCTGACAGTAGAGGAATGTTTAGCAGCCCTGCAAAAATGGGTACTTCAAAGAGTCCAGGAAGCGATGGCTTGACCAAAGAGTTTTATTGTATATTTTGGAACAAACTAGAAAAGTTAATGGTCAATAGCTTCAACAGTGGTTTTGATAAAGGCTCTCTCTCGAATACCCAGCGACAAGCTGTTATCACTTTGATAGAAAAGCAAGGAAAAGATTGTAGGCTCTTAAAGAAGTGGCGACCAATAAGTCTTATAAATGTCGATGTTAAAGTTTGTAGTAAAGCTCGAAATATCGAATGCGTGACTATTGCAAGTTGCAAGAAAAACATACAAATGCATCTCCAAATGTATAATGATGTATATGTAGTGGTGTGCCTCAGAGCTCAATTCTCGGTCCTCTCCTTTTTGTTATCCATATCAATGATTTGCCAGTCGTCGCTAGGCAATGCAGCATACTTATGTATGCATATGATACTGTTTTATTTTGTCCAGGTTCAACTGTATCTATAATTGAAGGAAAGCTTAATGCTGACCTTGAGTTGGTTGGATCTTGACTTAGTGAAAATAGCTTGTTTCTAAATGCCACCAAAACTGAGTCCATGCTATTTGGAACTCATGCTAAGCTTTCACAGGTTTCTGATTTTAATATACTATTTAGTGGTCACCCTATTAAACGTGTATCTGAACTCAAATATCTGGGAATCATTTTTGATGAATGCCTTCCATGGAATTCCCATGTCCAGTATATATTATCTAAAGCTGGCAAAAGGCTGGGTATGCTAGGGCGCATAAGGAATAATCTAACGTTACACTGTGCGAATATCATGTATACGTCTTTTATTCGCCCTGTTCTTGAATACAGTGATAATGTTTGGGGGTGTTGTGGTATTGGAAATTCTACATCTTTAGAAAGACTTCAGCGGCGTGCTGCAAGGATAGTTTCTGGAATAGGCGAGAGTGATAGGGCCTTAGATGTAGTTCATTGGTCCACCCTACAAAGTAGGCGTGACGACCACGTGTTCAAACTTGTTAAGAAATGTATTAATGGGAGTTGCCCGCAATGTTTCAGAAATTATTTTACTTTTAATAATGCTATACACAACAGGTTCACTAGACAAAGCAATATGTTACATTTACCAAGGGTAAGAACCGAGTTGGCTAAGAAATCATGTTATTATCATGGATGTATAATTTTTAGTAGGCTACGATCATAGTTGATGGTTGTTGGGCCTTTCCCGGATTCGCTTGGATGCTCGCGGAGTGATGGCCATGGGTCGAGGTCGGCTTTGATTTGGTTTCGGTCTCGGCTTTTGGCCTTTGTTCCGTGGGCGTCCTGGCGAATTCGGGAAAGGTCTAATAACCCTTTATATATTAGCTTTTAGGTACTTACATTATTAGATTTAGTATTGAAACTATATTGTAAATAGTATTACATTTTAATCATATTAGCTTTTTTTAGTTTCTATTTATTGTAAGTTGTGTATGTGTATTTAACAGGGCTCCTTTTGATAGCAGGGGCATTTTGCCACTGAATGGACTACCCTGTTTTTTTWATACTTTTTTTGTTTAAGTAAAGGTTTCTACTCTACTCTAGGCAGAGGCCTGTGTTTGGCTGTGAAGGCTCTCGGGCAGTCAGGGACTCTAGGGACGGCAGTGGTGTGGATGGGCTCTTTCAKCTGCCGGTTGGGTTGCTACTGGTGTCAATATTATTTYGTGATTTTTTGTTTAGGCTTCTTTGATCTGAGTACGAATCGATATGTTTGAGTGAGAATAAAAAGAGTTAAGAATTTATCGTCAATGCTAAAGAGTTCCAATGAAAACAACATCGTATAGCTTGTCWTGCAAAATCGCAAAACAGGCCTAAACATTTGGTTGCTCATCTGTCCCGTAACATTTTTGGAAAAAGGGAGGAAGCAATCCTACTGTCTCCAAGTATTTGTTTATTCATTTAGCGAGTTGATGGACTTCGCTTCACATGACCAAAATATCTTTTTCACAAGGTATTGGGCGAGTCAATAATCACTAAATGAAAAGTGGAAGTGGGGTCAATAAACAACTATTGACTGACCCCTCTTAAACATTTCATAATAACTTTTCATATCTCATGCGTTTGACAGTTTTAGATAATGGAATTTTCATAACATATCGAAATGGAAACTTACTCAAAATAATTGGTTTAAAGCCAGTTTCTTCTCTTACGATTTCTTGTATGATAAATGCCCTTACTGCAGTGTTGTGAGGACTGTCGATATTGGAAAAATAATTACGAAACGAGATTTAAGTTAAGTACTAATAAGTAGCAAACATCAAATCATGTACTTACCCAGCTTACCCTTCGTTAACATGAAACTGCATTTCATGTTGTTGGTTATGGATTAGATGAACATCATCCTATATAATGTCAGTAACATCATTCTCGACCAGATACTATATTTTACATTAAGAAAAGCTTTCAATAACAAAATCTATCGAAACGGAGCAAATGTAAATTTCAAAGTCAATCAAAATCCCATGCATCTACAATAATATTTGATGTGTTTGCTCATCCTTTAAGATGGCGCTCGCTACCTCACCGTGAAATGAAAGCCTATGGTGATGAAGGAATGTCCTATGCATAGGTGGTATATAAGGTCCGACATCTCCTGCTTTAAAGCTTCTATTTCCTTCGTGCTTTGCTCCACATTGGCAGCCATTTTCGCAATCGRTAGATATTGCCTTTGCACTTCTTCTCCTAGGCTTTTGACGCTGTCGAACAAATGAGACAATTTGATGGAAGAAAACTTTGTTCTGTCTTGTGAAAGGACTAAGATATRGTGTCATTAGGAAAGCTGTGCAGGCATAGCCATTATCGCCTAATAGTATCCCATCATATATCCTGGTCCCTTCAAGTTGGCGGCAAATACTAATTGTATCTGATTATTTAGGTCCGCTAAGTCACAGCATAAACATTGTTGAATTGCGCGGGAAATGGCGCAGGCTAGCAAGAAGCATGAGAAGCTTGTAATCAAGATATCGTTTTCACTTAGATAATATATATGAAGAATAATTATATATAAAGAATTTTATAACGATAAAAGGCTAGGAGTATRTAATATTCGTTACTTTCCTTGTTCCTTGACGACAAGAAGCTATATAACCCGAACGAGCCATTCTAACGGTTGCAAAATACACTTCGTAAAATCAAACATCAACACATTGTTTTGTGCTTAATGAATAAACGTACGTGATTTTACCTTGGTCCTGCAGATTCTCTTGTTTTTGCCATGAACTTAGCAGCAAATGACAAATTCCAATCTACATAAAGAAAGCAAGTATTCTAAATTTATGCCAGGCTATGGAGACTACAAAGTGGTAGCCGAGTCGGCTTTGAAATCTTAAAGTGGTCGGAACGATTAGGGCGTCTTCACTAAACCAATATTGATTAGAAGTTTCACGGGTCAAYGGTGCAGAATTTCCTCATATTACTTTTCATCTTGCCATTGGTATTCTAAGATCTTCACGTAGGCTAGCTATTTATTCAGTGCCACTGTTGAAAGACAATGGTTAAGTAAATAAATTTCTGACATTTTGATCGAATGTCATCATTTACCTACGCCAGTTATTCTTGCTTCACGATTCCAGAATCCATTCCGG